TTCCCTCCATGTCTTTGCCTCTACGGTGTCTGCAGTTGCAGGATATGAGTCTCAGTCCACAGCACTATTCAGATACCTTCTGAATGTGCTTGCAAACACCGTGGGAGCAGTCACAGTGATGTATTGCCGTAATCCCACTGATGCAACATGACATGGCTGTCAGTTGCCATGGGATTCTGGGTGATTTATATTCAGCAGATCTGTTTATGGTCTGATATAAGTGATGTTAAAGGCCTGATCTGGCACTCTTATCTTTAACTAAGGGTGTCCTGGACAGGCAGACGCTTTATTCACAACGAGGGCTAAAGAATTTTTGCGTAATCAAACCATTTCATTTTCACGATCCCCAACAAAGAGACAAAGATTATATATTCACTTAACATCTCGTTCCCTTAGATTATGTGTGCTCCATCACAAACTGTATGTAACTTATAATTGATCAGTAAAAAAAAAAAAAAAAAAAAAAAAAAAAAAAAGCTCGATTCATTCTTTAATTTTGGTTCTCTTGCATCTAGGTCTTTCCCACTGTGGTACTCGATAAATGCTTCTACGTTGTCGTGTGTGCCATTGCAGGCTCATTTCCATGTCTATGTGCTGTGCTTTATCTGCCACCAACTATTTCTTGCCCTGGATAAGCCAGCAGATCGGCAGTCAGGGGAGCAAAGAGCATGCACAGCATTTGATAAACTGTGCGGTGGATCAAAATGAAAAATACAAATAAAACAAAAGAAAAACAAACGTTTGCACATGGGTGACTTTTTCGGGCAGACGGTGTCAGCAGGGAAAGCTAAATGAGACTATCAGTATATGTAATATACTGACCTGTAAATGAATGCTGTGTGAAAAAAATAGCAGCATGAAAAATAACTGATGGCACTCCGACACACAGCTACACCGAGGTGCTCGAGCACTCTGAGGTATCTGGCAAAATGCACACAGATCTGCATAAATGAAAAACCTTCAAATTGGGTATTGATTTATTCGGATTCATTTATTAGCCAACAAGCTGGAGTCCTTATTTGTGCATATGAAATAATAACACAGTTTGACAGGCATAAAATAGCATTTCCGCATCAGCAAGTTGATTCTCAAGGAGAAACTGACGACTGGGATATATAAGCATGATGTGTGTCTGTGTGACATTTTTAGGGAACTGGAAAAGTGAAGGACAAGAGAAGACGTGGCAGACCTAAACTTATCTACAGCAAATGTAAAGTATCTGAAAGTCATGTCCTTAAACATAAAAAATAAAACATTAGGGGAAAAAAAAAATAATAAAAAAATCGAGCAAAGACCTGACTGGAGAGAACCATATGACCATTCACTGATCGATCTACAGTTTGCCATAGTCTTATTAGAAATGGTCTCAGTGAAAGGGTGGCTGTCAAGAAGCCAGTCATTCAAGCAAGGGAAACAAGAAGGAAATGCTGCGGTATACCAAATTACACGAGAACTGGACTGAAAAGGTCTTATGCAGAGATATATCAGAATTAGACGTTTTTGAAATCACTATCGGTTTATATGAAGGAGGTCAGGAGGTACGACAGTGTCTACAGCCATCTGTAAAATGCTGTCTCCGCTCTGTCGTGGTTCGTCGTGGTTATATACACAGAAAAGGTCAGATTTTGATCCACTGTGCAGAACCTTTTATTAAGCATCTGGTTGGCAGCAGTTCCATTCTTTTGAACATGACAATGATCCCAAAGCAAGGTCATAACTGGGTAGAGCTAAATGCACAATGGAACACCGTCAATGATGGACTGGCCCCCCCAGAGCCATCCATCCTCATCTGGACAGAGGACGGAACAAAAAGCAGCCAACATCCAAAGAAGAGTTTTGAACAGCCTTCAAGAAGCCTGAAGAAGAAGAGGAACACATATTTACGAGAGTTTATACTATGCTGAAGAACAAAGGTGGCCATACCAAATATTGTCTTGCAAGCTGGTTAGAATTGTACAAAACTGTATTTACATGTATATTTGCAGCTTTCATTAAATTGCTACAACTATTTCCTGTTTTCCTAGCAGCATACAGTGGGGCAAAAAAGTATTTAGTCAGCCACCGATTGTGCAAGTTCCCCCACTTAAAATGATGACAGAGGTCAGTAATTTGCACCAGAGGTACA